GGAAGTGGGGGACAATACCTTGTCTTTGTATATCTTCTGTGCCTAACTCTAAATCTGATGTACACCATCCCTTCAGTAATGGATGGATGGATGGATGGATGGATGGATGGACAGACGGACGGACGGATAGATGAATTACTATCAGAGCATTAGAGAAAAAAGGGAATAGTAAGGACAACATGAAATCAGGAAAATAGAAGGTAAGTTCTAGGAATTGCAAGCATCCAGTTGGATTGTTATAAGGATGTGGGTAGGAAGGTGGCAGGTGACAAATGTTGAAAATAGAAGACGAAAAACAGTTCGTAGGGCCTTGAATATCTGGCTAAGGCAGTTGGACTCACCCTGCAGAGTTGAGGAACCACAGGGAACTGATGAACAGAGAGGAAATGAGATCAGATTTGTGTTTTAAGGCAATTAATCTGGCTGTTGGAATATCCTTTCCTTTTTGTTACTATATTCACTTTCTATCAAGCATTTTCTTTGTCTTATCTCAAACAAATCAATCTTATGTTGTGGGTTTGAGCAGCCCCAATAAACATTTCTTTTTCCAAAACAGCTCAAACCTGCTGTCTAGGTCAGTCTTGAGTAAAGTGTTGTTTTGCAATTTTTTTCTTTCAAACGATTAGTCTTTATGCTACTTCTCAAGCCACCAACTGCATTATTTTGATGCAACACCCTGAAATTAATTCTGAACTGCTCCCCAAGGCCCAGCATATGGTTACCAACAAATGCTTGCCCACAGCAGGGAGCATCATGAGAGACTTCTATATGAGATTCTCTTATACGACAACATTTGCTGATAGAAATTCCAGTCATATTTTTTACTAGAAATAATTTTTAATGGCACATTCGAATGAAATCTTGCCATTTGCAATAACATGGATAGAGCTAGAGAGTAAAATGCTAAGCAAAATAAGTCAATCAGAGAAAGACAAATACCATATGATTTCACTCATATGTGGAATTTAAGAAACAAAACACACGAGCAAAGAGGGAAAAAAGAAGAAAACCAAGATATAGACTCTTACCTATAGAGAACAAACTGATGGCTACCAGAGTTAGTGGGGAGGAAGGGTGAAATAGGTGATGGCGATTAAGGAGCGCCCTTGTCGTGATGAGCACCGGCTGATGTATGGAAGTGTTGAATCACTAAAATGTACACCTGAAACTAATATTACACTGTATGTTAACTAAATGGAAATTTAATTAAATAAATAGATACATAAATACATTACACATTTACTCAAGGAGAAAAATTATCTTTCAATGTTTTAAGACCATTTTAATACTTGACAAGTAATTGAAGAGATCGATATTAAAAATTAGACCACCATCCTTTGACAATCACATATTATTCAATTTATCTTCCATAAGCCAGTCTTTGTAACAATGCATGTGTACCAAATCAACAAGTTATAACTTCAGACCATTTTAGATAAAAGTTGTATCTTAAAATTATAATGTTTTACAAGTAAACATTAAAGTTCAACATGCAAATTCAGTTGATACTTTGTTTTTAATAAACTAGAGAAATTTATTTTCTCTAGTTTCCCAAACCTATTGCTGATCAGAAAAATAAATAATTACAAAGAACACAAGTCCAATACAACAGTATTACTGAGCCATGTGGTATGAAAGTAGATAATGAAGGCTTTGATATTGCCCAGATGGACTTCTGGACTTACCTTTTTAGATACCTTATATTCGGAAATCAACACTTCAGAAAAGAAATGGATTACTCTGAGATTGAAATATTTCGAATATAAAAGTAAGGCAAATCACTAGACTTGAATGATCTTTCAGCATTTTTTTTAAATTCTAAGATGGATCATTGAGAAGACTCAAGCCGCATGCATAACTAAACAAGAAATCAGATTCTCATTTTCCTATTGTTTGATACTTTGACAAACCATCCTCTCTTTTCCAAAGTCCATTCCTGGGTCAAGTAGAGGGCAAAGAAAGCAATCTCCCCCCCTCTTCATGCTGTGATATAGGCTCTTCTCTAAAAATCCGAGGGCTGTGATGCAAAGCACTGTAGAAGTTTTGGGAGATGGGTGGGTGAATAGATATTGACCCAGAAAGCACTGGGTACCATTAGTCCTCCAAGAAATGAGCTCGTTTTCGAGACTTGCTGGACCTTGGTGTAAACTTCCTATTTAAATTATAGGAAACTCATCCCTTTCATCTGGTCTGGAATCATCTTTCTTTAAAAATCAATAAATAAATTCCTGACATATCTATCCTGCTAAACTAGCAGGATCATCATGGTTTCACTTTCTGCTCCAACAGCCTGTATGAATTTCTCTGCCCAATCTGATTAATTTATATTCACAAGAATTAATAAGTTCTCTTAAAAAGAGAGCTCTTTCTGATCCTGCTGGTTTCCTAAAGTCAAGTATGCACATGGGTATCTGGCTTATCAGCATTTCTACAAATTCTGTTTTTCCACACATTTGATTCATATGCACATAAATATATGTAGATCGTTTTTAAACTTTTGTATCTGGAAGAAGATTGAAAATATAACATTCCAGTTAACTCTGGATGATCAAAGAGTAAATATTCATCATTTAATTTATCCTAAAAAATTTTGCATCCTAATACCTGCTCTAGTTAAACATTTGCTTATTTCGCTTTTGGATATTTGCTATATAATCAACATAACAACTGCTTTGCTGATATCTTAATTCCCCTCATTTTTATTTTTTAAGAAGAAAAATGTTTTGAAATTCAAATATTTTACTACTATTATCCAGAAAAATCTGGAGGAGATGGGCCTTGCCTTCCCTCTGGAAGAAATTTTTCTATTTCCATTATGAATTCAAGAAGAAACTGAGCTTTGTTCACATCCCAGTTCCTTCGATATTATCTGTATGCAGCAGAGTCCTTTGAAATACAAATTTTCTTACTAAATGCCCTGTTCCAAGGGAAAGTTTATGAGCTATAATTCTTACCTCAGTCGGAGAAAAGCTATCTATTCCATAGAGGCATTAACAAGATGTCTTTAAGTCCCCACAAGGTGACTTTGTTTGATGTAAATTTCTAGACCAGACACGCATGATACAAAAAGAAACATATTCAAGAGCCAGGTTTCTTATCCATCATTTTAGGTTACTTGTGCCCTCTACTATACACTCCTCATACCAAAGTATTATGAAATGTTTAAATGAAGTTATTTATAATTTCAGTGGTAACAGGTACTCAAATTCATGCTAAATGGTATCTTAGAGATTTCATATCCCATGCTAGGACGATACTACTAGAACCCAAATCCTAAATATTACCCCAGAGCATCAGGCGGCGGCTGCAGGAGCAACCTGAAAGGAAATGTTGAACCATGTCACCATTGCAGTTTTGAAGGACACATGTAATTCACAACTCTATTCATCCAGAACAGTTGACGCTGTGCAATTATTAAGCTTACCGCTCACAGAGGCTGAAGTCAGTTGGATGCTCTATCTATGGTGGGGACTCTTCCACCAACAATATCATCCGTGTTCCTTGTTGCCCTCAGCAAAGTAATGAAACACTTCAGAGCAAATATACAACACAACAAACCATAGCTGGATGCCAAGATTGCAAATATTTCCACAGATACTTTGAAATTGCCTTTGGTGCTCAAGTAAGCAGGGACAAAAGAGATCCAGATGATGAAAAAGACCAGCATTCCAAACGTGATTCTTCTTCCTTCATAGTAATTATCCGGCAATCGGCGAACAACAAAAGTTGTTAGAAAGCATAGCAAGGCCAGGAAGACAGGGATCCCAAGTATAGAGCATAAAAACTCTATAGAACCTTCATCACATTCCAAAATGATCTTTATATGTCAACATTCTATGTTCTTGTACAATCTTGGGGGCTCCAATACTAAGTAGGCTGTGCATAAGCCAATCTCTACCAGAACAGAGATCAGCACAATGATTTTTTGATAAAGGGAATGGATGGATATAAGTCAGGTTTTGGATTTAGAAATTGTGAAGGCTAAAAACAGTGAAATTGTTTTTCCAAGAATGCAAGACAGGCAAAGAGAAAAACCCATTGCCAAAGGGACCTGGCGGGTCATGCAAGACCAGTCGTATGGCTTGCCAATGAAAAGCATGGAAGACAGCAGTACGATGACAAGAGAAAGCTGAATGAGAAAGCTCAGCTCCCGGTCATTGGCGTTCACAAGTGGAGTATGCCTGTATATCACGTACACAGTTGTGACTGCCAAGACCACAAGCACCCCAAAGATAGAGAGAATGACAAGCACGAATCCCAGGGCCTCATCGTAGGCAAGGAACTCCACCTATTTCAGCACACACTTGCTCTTTTGTGCATTTGACAAATAGTCTTCACCACATTGTTCACACTCCCTTTGACCTAATGAACAAAAAACAGAGGATTGACTGCAAGAAAATCAATTGTCCCCTTCAGCTGCGAATAGCTCAGAGCAGCCAAAGACCTAGTGTAGGACTCACTGAGATTCCTTTATACAGAATATACAACATTTTTTTAAAAAGAAGAGAAAAAAGCATCAATACAATGGTCTTAGAGTGTGCAACTAATATTAAAGGTTGAGAATTATTTTCAGTTGTAGGAATTCAGTCTGGCTTCTTGGTTTCTGCCTTTCCTGTATGGGCCTTTTCTGGTAAGATGCCTCTTTCTCTTCCAATTATCCAATTGAGAAGGGAGGTGTCTAGTCTATCCTCATAAACCAGAGAATAATCCACAGTTTCCAATGTACAAGAAAATTAAAGCTACTAAGGTGAATCAAGAGGATCGTGATAAGGATTAAAGTACAAGTGGGGTTTTTTTTAAGATTTTTATTTATTTATTTGAGAGAGAGAGAGATCACAAGCAGGGGGGAGGGGTAGAGGGAGAAGCAGATTCCCCACTGAGCAAGGAGCCTGATGCAGGGACTCGATTCCAGGACCCTGGGATGGTGACCTGAGCTGAAGGCAGATACTTAACCGACTGAGCCACCCAGGCACCCAAAATGCAAGTATTTTCAACCTGCCATTCAACATTACTGCCACCTACTGAGGGGAATTTTGTCTTTCTCAGCTTTCTCCTCCCCATCCTCCAGATCCAGATTCCAGAGAATACGCAGAGATGGACTGAGAATAAGAAGGGAAACAAAAATAGCAACCATGTTAACTAAAGTTGAGAAAAATTTGGGAGCCTTCAGCTGGGCAGATTCTCCAAGGGAGACTATTACAACGTAAGAAAAAACTATTTGAGATGCATTCACGGTAAATTATCAAGTGGATCTCTTTAATGTTCTCTGAAAGGTGCTAGGGAAGATCGGAATTCCCTTCCAATCACTTCGGACTGCTGGACTGGACTTCTCTTGATGTAACTCAGTGCAGAGACTGGGTCACGTGGGGTTCAGGGAGGTGTTCAGGTTACCTATTTTCCAATTGGGGAAAATTTTACATTTTTAAAAATTCTCCTTGAAATAAATTGTTATTGAGGGCCTTTTGGTAAAGGACAAGGACAACTTGTATTATCTTTAAAGGTAGAGATAAGCAGAGATAAAAGTACACCTGATCCAACATGCTTCATAAGGCTAAGCAAACCAAACCTCACTAAAATCCTTGTCATGAAGAGCAGCAATGCAGCAGGCTGTAGAGAAGAATTCATAGAGCAATTGTTACAGAATTCATCTGTAAAATTCATCCTGCAAACCTGAAGTAATTATGGCCTTAAGTCCATTGTCTTTAGGGATAGAATTCTTGATCTTATAATTCCAAATGAGAGATAATACAGTAGAATAGAGAACTGTAATTCACTTATTTTTCCAATTATTGACTATTTTTTACATAACTAATGTTTAATCTATTTTAGAAACTGAAATAATTTTAAGTACTTTTTATGAATCCATTTATTCACATTTCACATTTCTTTTTCTTTTTATTTTTTTCTCTTAAATTCACAGATGCAAATCCTTTTCCCAACTGTAGCAGCTTTAGAACTGAAACCCAATATTATGCTTTTTTTCCACACTGCAAAGAATATCTAACAGTTTGATGGATTATAATGATTTTTGTTATAAGTTGTTCACACTATTTATAAAGATGGCTCCCAAAGCCCTCTTCACTGGAGCATGCTTAATCTAATTGCATTTCAATATCATGGGAAAATATATGACCATCTCTACCTGGTTCCCGTGACACGTGTCCATTGGCACATGGGATGCAGTCAAAGCAACAGATCGGTTCCCCCTGACGAATCCCCTTCCGTGTCCCAGGATGACATAGATCAGTACACACCGAATGAGGAAGCTAGCAAAGACAAATACAATGCATGTAACAAAGCCTTTTGTCTCCACAAAAAAAAAAAAAAAAAAAAGTCGAGAGAGTTCACACCTGGATTTCCATGGGTTTTGTGATATCTCGGGAAACCCGGGAGAGCTGGGCATGGATAACAAAGAGCATGAATGACACCTGCAGCGCCTAGAGAGGAATTTTGCTGAAGTCAGTCTTGTGGTTGATTCTAGAAATTCAGAGCTATCTTCAAGTTAGGTCTTTCCAATCTGGGAGCCTCAGACCAGCCTCCATGCCCAGCATACTCCTGAGAAGGGACAGTTTGACAAATCTGTTCCTGCTTGTTGGGGGAGGGCAGTGACCCCAAGAATTGTCTTGAAAGCCTGAAAAAGATTTTTTCTCACAAGGTCATCCCAACAGTCTGAAAGTCAAAGATGTGTCATAAAGGCTCAGCAGAAAAGAAATATAAAATATCTTTTCCAGGGGAAAAAAAAATGGCAGGACAAAAAGGAAATGTGGACAAGGCATAACACCGGAATATTTTCTCACAAAAAAAGAATTTTGACAGTAAAGCAGAGGCAGTGGGGGAAGATGGTGGCGGCCGTACCACAGCGGGCCTGGACCGTGGAGCAGCTGCGCAGCGAGCAGCTACCCAAGAAGGATATTATCAAGTTTCTACAGGACCACGGTTCAGATTCGTTTCTTGCAGAAGTTACTAGGAAACGTTAAAAATGTGGCCAAGACAGCTAACAAGGACCTTTTGGTTACAGCCTACAACCATCTTTTTGAAAGTAAACGTTTCAAGGGTACTGAAAGTATAAGTAAAGTGTCTGAGCAGGTGAAAAATGTGAAGCTTAATGAAGATAAACCCAAAGAAACCAAGTCTGAAGAGACTCTGGATGAGGGTCCACCAAAATACATAAAATCTGTTCTTAAAAAAGGAGATAAAACCAACTTTCCCAAAAAGGGAGATGTTGTTCACTGCTGGTATACAGGAACACTACAGGATGGGACTGTTTTCGATACTAATATTCAAACGAGTTCAAAGAAGAAGAAAAATGCCAAGCCTTTAAGTTTTAAGGTTGGAATAGGCAAAGTTATCAGAGGATGGGATGAAGCCTCTTAATTATGAGTAAAGGAGAAAAGGCTCGACTAGAGATTGAACCAGAATGGGCTTATGGAAAGAAAGGACAGCCTGATGCCAAAATCCCACCAAATGCAAAACTCATTTTTGAAGTGGAGTTAGTGGATACTGACTGAAATAGCAATGCTTCGGATATAAAGATATCAGCAACAATAAAACATGGCCTTGAAGAAACTTATGTAACTAATTAGAGCTGGTTACTATTGTAAGGGAAGAGTCAACTGGAAAATTCAAGAACTCCGATATTGTTTACCCAATCCCCAACTTTTAATATATGTAATCCATTATAATTCCCTAAAGTTTGAAATATTTTACAACAGCTGTGTAAAATATTGGTTAAGGAGAAATGACTTTCCTTTTACCTCATGTTGTAAACTAAAAGGCTCAATAAAAACATATTCAGTGTCAAAAAAAAAAAGAATTTTGAGAGCTCAATGGTAAATACAGGTCTCCCTTTACATTCTACAGGGACGTGCACTTTGAAACCCAGTACAAATGCAATGTTTGTGAATCAGTTTATATCTTAATGGAAATGAAGATTTCCATTTCCAAATGAAGATTATTTAAAAAGGAGATAAAATGTAGTTTCCATTAAGGAAATATTTATTTTGGAAAGTCAATAATCACATTTATATTTACTTTGGAAATCAGAATTTTCCTATATTGAGTTTTATAGGTTAAATCTGAATTAGATAACAATGAAAAATATTAGAAATCTCTGAGATCAGTTATGGCATGTACCATTACTGAAGTGTGTATTGCTGTACACACCTTCTTCTTACAAGGTGTGTGCATGCGTGACCAAAGAATGAACTGGATTTCCTCTCTCCTGACCCAGTCTTCTGAAGTGAGCTCTCCATATATCTTTCTTTGAAAATCATCATAAACAATGAGCTGATGCCTCTTTGTTCCATTTCTCAGTATCCCTTCCCTTCTCAACACCAGTAACCTAGCTTCTAACCCACTCACCTCACTAAAATGTTTCCTGCCGTGTCTGCTAGCTTTTCCTCTAGCTACATTCTCTTTTGTATCTCTTCAATATTTGGCACTCTTAATCAACCCCTCCTTGAAATGCAGGCTCCCTTGTCTTCCACTGGGCCTTTTATTTATTAATGGGTTCTACATCCTCCACCTTCCTCACCACTGTGGGCATTTTCTTAGGTTTGCTCCTTAGTCCTCTGCTTTTATCTGTTGATATAAGGCAGCTCATTCACTCTGTCTTTAAACAGCATCTTTATTTAAGAACTCCCAAATCTTAATCTCTACCAACCTATCCCACCTGAACTCTAAGTCCATATTCTAAACTTCCAGTATGTCCCTACTTTGAGTTTCCACCATCATCTCAAATTCAACATGTCCAAAGCTATCCCCATTAACCCTATTCCTTCTCCCAAATTCCTCATTTCTGTCACAACACCACCATTCTCATCCATAACCTCCAACCTTATCTTGCATTATTTGCCTATATATTCCCTCTCCTTCACTCAGGCCCATCTGCTCACCAACCTCCAGACTCAGTTTACCAACATGAGTTAAATCATGCCTTATGCTGCCTACTAATTATTTAAGGCAGGACACTTCCAAGTCCAGTCTGTCAGCAAATCCACTGGCTTCTAACTGTAAGATATCCAGAATCTGACTATTATGTGCCACTTCCATCACATCTATCTTGGTTCAAGCACCCAAATTATTTTGGATTATTTTATTGGTCTTCTAATTGGTGTCCCTTTTTCTACTCTTGTCCGCCCCACCACCAGCCCACTCCTTCATTTTATTTGCAGCATGGCAAACAAATGATCCTCTAAAGATTTTTTTTATTTATTTATTTATTTATTTATTTATTTATTTATTTATTTATTTATAGAGAAAGAGATAGCCCGAGCAGGGGGAGGGGCAGAGGCAGAGGGAGAGAAAGAATCTCAAGCAGACTCCAAGCTGAGCCTGGAGCCCAGTGCGGGACTCAGTTTCACCACCTTGAGATCATGACCTGAGCCGAAATCAAGAGTTGGTCGCTTAACTGACTGAGCCACCCAGGCACCCCAAGAGATGATCCTTTAAACCCTAAATCAGACTATTACTGTTCTCTCTCAAGGCTCTCCCATGGCTCCCCTTTTCACTCAGTGTAAAAGCCAAAGTCCTGAAATAGCCAATAAGGCCCTATGTGATTTACCCTCTCTCGTCTTTCTTCCCTCCTCTCCCACTACTCTCCCACTCCCTCACTCTGTCCAGTCACACTGACCTCTTTGCCGTTCCTCCACATGCCAAGCACGCCCCTGCCTCAGGGCTTAGAAACTGCCATTGCCTCTGCCTGGAATGCTCCCCCCCCCCCCCCGCCATGATGCATGGATTCACTTCCCTTTTTGTTCAAATGTCACCCTTCCCTGACCACATTATGTGAAGTTTCAACACTCCCCCCATCACTCCCTATCTCAGACCCTACTACTTTTTTCCCTTCAGCACTATCACCCTTCAAGATAACATACAATTTATCTATTTGTCTTGTTTATTGCCTATTTCCTCCCACTGAAACGTTAGCTCCATTAGTCAGGGATTTGTTCTGTTTTGTACAGTGACATATCCCCAGTTCCTAGGATGGTGTCTAGCATCTGTAATATTGTGCTCAATAAATATTGGCTCAATTAATTAATTAATTACATTATAAGTGCTGTGAAGGCAGTGTTTTGGTGGTTGTGTGCGTGTGTGTGTGTGTGTGTGTGTGTGTGTGTGTGTTTTACTTCCTTCCCTTTATTTTGTAGTTTGTGAAATAACAGGTTGGTTCCAAAGAATCCTCCAAAGCTGGTTAATTTTGAAATGAGAATATCATTATGAACTTATGGATTTTAAAAATGTGTTTTCTTTTATTGCATTTATTTTCCTTATTGATGCTCAAGTTGTCCAATTTTTTTAAAGATTTTATTTATTTATTTGACAGAGAGAGACACAGCAAGAGAGGGGACACAAGCAGGGGGAGTGGGAGAGGGAGAATCAGGCTTCCCGCGGAGCAGAGAACCCAATGGGGGGCTCGATCCCAGGATCCTGGGATCATGACCTGAGCCGAAGGCAGACGCTTAATGGCTGAGACACCCAGGCGCCCAAGTTGTCCAATTTTTGACCAGGGAAAACTTCTGCTTGGCTCCTGCATTTTTTTTTTTAAGTGTAGTTGACAAACAATGTGACATTAGTTTCAGATGTACAACATAGTGATTCCACAAGTCTATATGTTATCCAATGCTCACCACAAGTGTAGCCACCATCTGTCACCATACAATGCTATTACAGACCATTGACAGTATTCCCTGTGCTGTACCTTTCATCCCCATGACTTATTCATTCCATAGCTGGAAGCTTGTACCTCCCACTCCCCTTCACCCATTTTGTCCATCCTCCCACCCCCGTTCCCTCTGACAATGATCAGTTTGTTCTATTTTTTTGGTTCATTTCTGTTTTTTGTTTGTTTGTTTATTTTGTTTTTTAGATTCCACATGTAAGTAAAATCATATAGTATTTGTCTTTCTCTCTCTGACTTATTTCACCTAGCATAATACCCTCTAGGTCCATTTATGTGGTTGTAAATGGCAAAATGTCATTCTTTTTTATGGCTGAGTAATACCCCATTATATACATATACATACCACTTTTCTTTATCCATTCATCTATGGATGGACACCTGGGTTGCTTCCATATCTTGGCTATTGTAAATAATGCTTCAATAAACAGAGAGGAGCATATATCTTTTTGAATTAGTGTTTTTGTTTTCTTTGGGTAAATATCCAGTAGTGGAATTATTGGAGCATATGGTATTTCTATTTTAATTTTTTGAAGAAATTCCATACTGTTTCCCACAGTGGCTGCACCAATTTACATTCTCACTAACAGTGCACAAGGATTCTTCTTTCCCCAGATTCTCACCAACATTTGTTATTTCTTATCTTTTTGATTCTAATCATTCTGACAGGTGTGAAGTGATATTTCACTACAGTTTTCGTTTGCATTTCCTTGATGATGAATGATGTTGAGCATCTTTTCATGTGTCTGTTTGCCATCTATATATCTTTTTGGGGAAAAAATTCTATTTAAGTCCTCTGCCCATTTTTTGTTGGATTATTTCATTTTTGGTGTTAAGTTGTATAAATTTTGGATATTAATCCCTTACCAGGTATGTCATTTGCAATATCTTCTCCTATTTAGTCAGTTGCCTTTTCATTTTGTTGATGAATTCCTTTGTTGTGCAAAAGCTTTTTATTTTGATGAGGTCCCAATAGTTTATTTTTGCTTTTGTTTCCTTTGTCTGAGGAGACATATCTAGTAAAATGTTGCTAAGATTGATGTCAAAGAAATTACTGCTTATGTTGTCTTCTAGTTTTATGGCTTCAGATCTCACATTTAGGTCTTTAATCAATTTTGAGTTGATTTTTGTGTATGGTGTAAGCAAGTGGTCCAGTCTCATTCTTTTGCATATAGCTGTCCTGTTTTCCTAGTACCATTTATTGAAGAGACTGGCTTTTCTCCATTGCATATTCTTGCCTCCTTTGTCATAGATTAATTGTGTAGTGTGGGTTTATTTCTGGGCTCTCTATTCTGTTCCACTGATTCTATGAGTCTATTTTTGTGTCGATACAATACTGTTTTGATTCATACAGCTCTGGAGAATATCTTGAAATCTGGAATTGTAATACCTTCTGCTTTATTCCTCTTTCTCAAGATTGCTTTGGCTATTTAGGGTCTTTTGTGGTTCCATACAAAATTTAGTATTATTTGTTTTAGTTCTAAGAAAAAGGCTGATAGTATTTGGTAGGGATTGCTTTGAATCTGTAGGTTGCTTTGGGTAGCATGGACATTTTAATGATATTAATTCTTCCAATCCATGAACATGGAATATCTTTCCATTTGTTTGTGTTGTCTTCAATTTTTTTCAACAGTGTTTTATAGTTTTCAGAGTACAGGTCTTTCACCTCCTTGGTTAAGATTACTCCTAGATATTTAATTCTTTTTGATGCAATTGTAAATGGGACTGTTTTCTTAATTCTCTTTCTGCTGCTTTGTTATTCATGTATAGAAACACAACCAATTTCTGTTTATTAATTTTGTATCCTGCAACTTTACCAAATTCTTTATTAGTTCTAATAGTTTTGTTTTGTTTTGTTTTGTAGTCCTCAGGGTTTTCTATGATTAGTATCATAGCATCTGCAAATGGTAACAGTTTAACTTCTTACCAGTTTGGATGCCTTTTATTTCTTTTTCTTTTCTGATTGTTGTGGCTAGAATTTCCCAGTACTATGTTGGATAAAAGCAATGAGAGTGGACATCCTTGTCTTGTTCCTGATCTTAGAAGGAAAGCTCCCAGTTATTCACCACTGAGTATGATGTTTGCTGTGGGTTTTTCATATAAGCTTTTATTGTATTGAGGTATGTTCCCTCTAAACCCACTTTGTTGAGAGTTTTTATCACAATGAATTTTGAGTTTTGTCAAATGCCATTTCTGCATCTATTGAGATGATCATATGATTTTTATCCTTCATTTTGTTGATGTGGTGTATCATGTTGACTGATTTGTGAATATTGAACCATCCTTGCATCCCCAGAATAAATCCTGCTTGATTGTGGTGAATGATCCTCTTAATGTATTGTTGACCATGGTTTGCTTATATTTTGTTGAAGATTTTTGCAAGAGATCTCTTAACCTATCCTCACTTTTAAAAATTCTTTGTTTTTTTTTTTAAGATTTTATTTATTTATTTGACAGAGAGAGACACAGCAAGAGCAGGAACACAAGCAAGGGGAGTGGGAGAGGGAGAAGCAGGCTTCCCGCGGAGCAGGGAGCCTGATGTGGGGCTCAATCCCAGGACTCTGGGATCATGACCTGAGCCGAAGGCAGATGCTTAATGACTGAGCCACCTGGGTGCCCCCCTTTTTTCTGTTTTGCTTGGATGTTTCCATTACCCTGTCTTCCAGATGTCTAATCTGTCTTCTGCTTCTGCTAATCTACTGGTTGATTCCCTCTAGTGTATTTTTCATTTCAGTTACTGTATTCTTCAATTCTGATTGGTTCTTTTTTACATTTTCTATCTCTTTGTTTAAGCTCTTACTGAGTTCTTCCACTTCTCTCTTCAGTCCCATGAGCATCTTTATGATTATTACTTCAAACTCTTCATCAAGCATATTGCTTATCTCCATTTCATTTAGTTCTTTTTCTAAGGATTTCTCTTATTCTTTCATTTGGAGCATAGTCCTGTCTCTCCATTTTGCTTGACTTTCTATGTTTGTTTCTATAAATTAGGTGGAACTGTGACTACTACACTTGAAGCAATGGTCTTATGATGGCTGTCACCTGTGTAGACTTGTGCCTGGTGACTTTAACCGGTTGGCTGGAGCTGTGTGGGATGGAGGTCCCAAGGCCAGGGCTGGAGCTGCCCTGGTGAAAGGGCCAGAGCTGAAATGGACATGGGCTGGGATGGCCCTGAGGCTCTCCATCGAGAGGGCACCCTGGCAGGACAGCTTAAACTGAAGTGAGTGCAAGGGGAGAAGCTGCTGAGCTCTCTGCACAGAGAGTGCCCTGGCAGGACAGCTGAACCTGAAGTGGGTATAAACCAGGGTGCCCTGGGGTGCTCGGCACAGGGGTTATCCTGGCGGGGCAGCTAGAACAGAGATGGGGTGTGATCTGGGAGGTCCCAGGGTGCTCCATGCCCTGGTGGGGTGGTTAGAACTGAGGCAGGCTCAGGCCAGGTGTTCCCAGGGTGTTCTGCACAGGGGACACTTTGGCAGGGCAGCTGGAGCTAAGGTAGGCATAGCCAGGAAGTCCCAGAGTACTGTGTATCAGGGGTGCCCTAGCAAGCCATCTGGAGCTGAAGTGGGATGGGCCTGGAGTCTTATGGGGTGCTCTGCTCCTGTGTTACCTTGGTGCAATAGCTGGAGCTGTAGTGGGCACTGACAAGGGATGTTCTGGTATACACTGCCCAGTGTACACCAAGGAGACTTGGTGGGATGGCTGGAGCTGGTGTGGGCTAGGGGCCCAGGAAATGCTGAGGCAGCAGGCCGATAGGGTACACAGACCCTGTTCCCATCCAGTATCAAGGCAGAAGGGGAACATAAACGCAGGCACTCACTAGCCCCTCCAACCCAGAGAAAGTTCCAGCAGCTCCCTTCCTGTTTGGCAAGGTTCTAGGGCTAGTCCCTTCATATTCTAGTTGCTCTTTTAAATCTCAGCCTTTCTTTCTGTGCCCCAGGGCAAAGAAATCTGCTCAAGGTCATCTCAGGGTACTATCCCTC